TTAAATTTTCGCTTATTGATGAATATAAATATATTACGAAAAGAACTGATATCGAATTATTTTCCCTATAAATTCACTTTTGAAAAATAAATATCATCTGGAAAATATTCAGAAAAGATCTAATTTTTATTTTTCAATTTTCTCACGAGAGGTGTATTGAACGTAATTAATTTATAGGTTTTTAAATCTTTTAGTTTCTCTCTTACAAATATGTAACTAGAACGGAGGAATAAAATTTTAGACCCATTTATTGATTTTCCACCTTTTTCAATATTAAAATAGACTTTGGATAAAATAAGGCATTCTCGAATTACATTATTGGAAAGTCTGCTTTTTTTCATCGTATTTTGCAATAAAATTACAAGTCATGTTTAGAGTAGGCATTAAATTACACAGAACAAAAACAAAATTAGAAGTTGAAATTCTATATAAAATTATCCTCTCAAATATTTAAATTAATTTATTATTATTTTTTTTTTTTTTGTAAAACGAAGAAAATTTTTTAGTTTTTTATAATTTACATTATATTTTTTAATTTTTTAACCCCAACTTTTTATTATATTAATTTATTAATTTCAAAAATAACCAAAAATAGTAATAAATATGTTATTAATTTATTTTAGAAATAACCAAAAAATCTAATAAATATTTTATTAACTTTTTTATTTTAAAAAGTAAAATAAGTAAAATAATAATAAAAGTAAAATAAACAAAATATCTCATAAATATTTTTTCTCTGCGACAACAACTTTTTTCATAATATTACAAAATGAAATTATGTATTCCAAAGGACCGTAAGTTTTCTTCGTTTTACAAAAAAATACAAGTATTTTTTCCCCATCTCGTGAAATTAAAACAATATCTCGAGACTTTAAAAAAAATAAAAGAATTCAAAGAGGAATACGAATCACATCTCGTTACCTTGTATTCTTTTCTTTTTATTTTTGCATTCAATTTCTCCTTCAGCAGTCCTATAGTAAAGTGAATTCGATTCCGAGTGATACCAAGTACGTTCGGGATTCGCAAAAATCAACGAAAACAATTTACATGAATTGGAATTTATTTTATCCCCACGTCAATACTAGTCTTTGATTTCAGAAAAAAAAATTTTTTAAATTCAATTTATATTACTCGCGTTTATATTTGATTTTCGTCATATGGTTTATAAAATAAATAATAATAATAATAATAATAATAGAATTGCAAATAAGCGGAAAATAAATAATAATTAATGATATGCTCTTTTATTGAAAAAAAAAAAAATATATATATATATATATATAATAATGCATTTTGTGCTAATCTTTCATTAGTCATATACACATTTCTCGTCCAGTTGTAAATTAATTATTCATTTTCAGCAGACTATAATTTATGACTTTTTCTTTTTGGTCAAAAGACGATTTTCTCATTTTTAATTAAAACATTTTTTTATAATTCCTTTTCCCTCACGAAGAAAAGTATTTATTTTTCATTATACTCTCTGGATTGGACATTTTAAAAAAGCTATTTTTACCTTTGTCAAACGGAATGTTTAATGACCTCATTATGCTTTAATAAATTGATTTTTTGATGGAATTACATAGTTATAGAACTATAATAAAATTTTTGCAAAGATTTAATTAAATTAATCAATTAAATGTGAATGAAAGTTTTCCAAAGAATTCAATTATTTGCAATAATTTTAATAACATTCTTTGGAAAATTTCAATTTTTAAATAATTTCCGATTCAAATTATACTTATATTATACTTATTATTTAATTAGGGTCAGTTGGGGTAAATAGAAACAGATTTGCTAAGTTTCACCAATCACATAAGTTTTTTTTTAATCGGAATGCTTTCGGTTTTTTTGTGTATTGAGTTATTATTTCACTTCCGTGGAACAATTTTATGGGGTAGTAAAAAATATGGGTATCAATAAATCGCAATAATCAACTGTTTTTATTTACCCCTAAATTTTTAAACTTTGCTAAAATTTAAGGGTAAATATTTTGTTGTACCTAGTATTAATAAGAGATAATTATAAATTTTAGTATGAATTTTTAGTTTATTTTTTTCCAACACAGTAAATCGTGAGATATTAAAAAGTGTTGCAGATTAAATTAACACCAAAAAAGATTAAAATAATCAATTTTGGTGTTATTTTTTACAAAGAAAGGAATTTTAGTTCATTAATTTTTTTTATAACTATAAAACATGAAGATATCGATAACGACGAGTCTTTGACTTGGAGTGATTGATTTCTTTATATTTTATAATAATTAAAGATGACCAAGTAATAAAATCATTATTTTATATTATAAGAATATCTTCTCTTCTTCAAAATTATTTTCATTATTTCAATTCAATTATTTTCAAAAATTTTTAACTACAATTTTACTTTATATCTATTATTTTTAATAATTTTCAAAAAAGTTCTTTGGCAATTTTCAAATCCATTTGTTTACAATATTAACAATTTCACAAAATTTCAATTATTCCTAAATTCTTTAATTAAATGCGTTTAAATGTTCTTGAAAGCAATGTTTTGTCGTTTTTTAAAATTAGTGAGCCATCCTTCGCTAGCTGCAAAACCTTCTATTCCAAGGGAGATGGCAAATGACTTTGCTTTTTCTTTAAGCAACGTCCCTCCCACAAGAATATTTTTATCTCTACACTGCGTAAACCACTCGACTAAACATTTCTCTAAATTGGGAAATTCACATTGGCGAAACCTTTTTTTTGATCCTTTTACATTGAGTCCAATTATTTGATCCTTGTTTTTTAAAATATTTGAAAGTGTCGACGGTAAAATACCAAATTGTTTGGCAACATCTTTTTTTGTTGCTCCACTTTCTACCACTTCAATAAGTTTTTTCTTTTCGGAAATGGATAAACATTTATTACTTCTGGGAAACATTTTAAACGATATCAACCGAGGCAAATATCAAACTGAATTAAGAAATTACTGAGCTCTGTGAGCTCTCTTTGTCATCAGGTAATTAGGTATTTTGACAAGTGGAACAATACAATAGCGTTTATTAAGAAGAAAATATTTTCAAAATATGTATACATCAAGAAAAGTTCAAATTATAGAGAGTTTGGTTCGGATAAATTCAATTTATAGAGAGAGAATAGACAAATTTCACCAAAAGCTACTTTTAATTATCGAGAGTATATAAAACCATTGTTTTCTTTCAATTTACCGAAAGTTTTTCAAGGGACCAGCATCTTACTTCAATTTATCGAAAGATTCAATTTATCAAGAGTGTAATTATCGAGAGTCAACTGTATATTGCTTTTAATATTCAATTATAATCTAAAATTTGAACTGAAATTCATTTTTATGAAATGAAAATCAATTTTTATTAGAAAATTCTACAAGAATTTAATTATTTAAATGCAAAAGTAAATAATTTATTGAATAATTGAATGTTTCTTAAAATTCAATTCTCATGAAGAATTTTTAGTAACAAATTTTTAAATAATTGATATCTTTTGTCGAATTTTATTAAAACTTGCATGAACATAATTACTTTTTCAAGGAATTCAATTATAATTGTATGAAAAATAATTGAAACGCTGCGATCAGTTTTATGAAAATTTTCAAATTCATTCGTTTACAATTCAATTTTACAAAATTTTATTTATTCAGAAATTCTGCAATTAAATATATATTGAAAAATAAAAACTCGATATAATTTCAATAAAAATCCTATTAAATTTTTAAAAAGAATTAATTCTACAGAATTTTTTATTAAAAATATAAAAAATTAAGAATTTCAATGATTTTAGTTTGAAACTTTTTCAAAATTTAATTATTTCTAAAAATCCACGTTATAAATGCTTTTAATATTTAATTATAATCTAAAATTCTAACTGAAATTCATTTTTAAAACCATTTTTATTAGTAAATTCTACGAGAATTCAATTATTTAAATACAAAAATAAATAATTTATAAATTTCATGTTTCTTGAAATTAAACTGCCATAAAAAATGTTATCAACAAATTTCTTAAATCATTAAATTCTTTGGACCATTTTTAATAAAAGTTTTAAGAATAATTACATTTTTCGAGGATTTCTATTAAAATTGCATTAAAAATAATTGAAATTCTGCAATTAGTTTTATTATTTATTAAAATAATTGAATTCCTAAAAGAATTTTATTATTTATAAAAGTAATTGAATCCCTGTAAAAAAGTTATTATTTATGAAAATAATTGAATTATTGCGAAGAAATTTATAAAAAAAATTTTAAAAAATTTAATTCCTGTAAAAAATTTTATTATTTATGAAAATAATTGAATGTTTGCGTAGAATTTTATTTAAAGTTTTTTTAATAATGGAATTTTTTTGGAAAATTTTATTGAAATAGTAGATATTGAAAATCATTGAATTTTAGAAAACTTTTGAAACTAATTGAAATTTTGACAAGAATTTGATTAAAATTTTGTAAAATAATTGAATATCAGAGAAGAATTTTATTATTTATAAAGAGAATTGAAATTCGTTGAATTTTTACAAATCGTTGACTTTGGTGTTTTATTTAAAGTAAAATTTCATTCATAGTTAAAAATAACACTAAAATAGATTATTTTTATCCTTTCTGGTGTTAATTTAATCCTAGAGGGATTAAACTGTTGCAAATTATTTTAATCCATTCTGGTGTTATTTTAACACCTCTCGTTTAACTGTGAAATAGGAGTCAAAAAAGTGAAAGGGTGTCTTCTTTGATTTTCAATTTTTTATACAATAGAAAATATTTTTGTATATACTGCTGCTAATTGACAAACGGAAAATGGGAAAATACTTTATTATCAACAAATTTGATAAAATTTTATTAAATTCAATTAATTTTAATATAATTTTCATTAAATTCATGAAAAAAATTTAATTATATTTTTCAAAAGTTTTTAATAAAATTATTCGAAACCCGAAGAAGATTAAAGAAAAAGAAATAAAAAACGGATGTAAAATGAAATATGAAAATTTAATTAAATTTTGTTAATTTTATAGATAAATTGAAGGCGGAGATTGCAATTAATGTTCATCTGGATACGTTGAAGAGGGTGGAGATTTTTCAAAACACGGAGGCTGGCTTCCTGTGCGAATTGGTTTTAAGGCTACGACCCGTACTCTTCTCACCTGGTGACTATATTTGTCGAAAAGGTATTTAACAAACAATTTTCAACTCTTCTTTGCTTTTAAATTTAAATTCATTAATTTAATTCTCCCTTTTAAATTTAATCCGCAAAAATTATTTTTAATCAAAAAAATTAATCCTTTCTTCTAATTTAATTAAATATTTAACAAAATTTTATATTTTTTTTTATTTCAATTTAATTACAATTTATTTATTTAACTAAGTTACAATTTAATTCAAAATTATCTTCAATGAAAGAATAAATTCTTTTTTCTAATTTAACTAATAATTTAACAAAATTTTCAATTTTTTCTATACTTAAATTATTTCATTGAAATTTAATTAAAAATTATCTTCAACCAAAGAATAAATTCTTTTCTTATATTTGGATAATTTTTTTCCGTCTTTTGAAATAAACCAAAATAAATTTTTTATACAAGAAAGAAAGAATTTTTTTCGATTATAATTTTATTTTCCATTTTATTGAATTAAAGATTCGTGATTTGTAATCTTGGCAAATAAAATATTCTATTTTTTTCGTTTCTAGAGTGAAAAAGCTTTTAAAAGGAAAACTCAGGAGCTTTGAATTCATCGCTTTAAAAGCGTAGCAATCAATCTATGTACAGTTTGCATTCGCAGGACATACATTAAACAAATCCAGCAATAGTACTAACTGATTGTATAATTGCTTGATTTTCGGGGAAATAGATAGAGAAAAAAAGTCGAAATAAATTTCACAAAGAAACAATAAAAATAGTAACAATAACAATAATAATAATAATAATTATAATAATAATTATATTAAAATAAGTAACAATAATAATAAGAATAATAACAATTTTATACTATTATATTACTCAATTTTAAGAAAAATATAATTATACTTAAAATATAAAATTTAAACAACTAAGAAAAATGATGAAATTCAACATTTTTTTTCAAAGAGAGACTATCAATTAATTTCATTTAATTAAAGGAAAATTATTGTTTCAGTGGAAAGACTTTTTTTCTTATTTATTTATATTTTCAATGATGAATAACGACAATACATATGGGAAAAAATTGAGAGCAAAAAAAATTAATAAATAAAAAAAAAGAAAACTTTAATAATAACGCGATATCAACCAAACTGTGAGGGGGTTTTTCATTTGAAGTAAAATTGTTTGCATCGGGAAAACGTTGGCGAGAGTTAATTGTGTACTTTTCTCGTTGTTTTCCAATGTGTTGAATAAATTAAATATCAACAGCCGCAAAAGAAATTAAAATCATGAAAAAGAAATTAATTAATTATATTCTCAAATAAAGGAATAATTTATATTTATTCCTTTCTTTTGTCAAGAATTTTTAGAAAGTAAAGAAAATATATTTTAAAAAATAACTAAATTGGGAAAAAATAAGTGTATTCGATATGTAATTTTTTGATTATTTATTAGTATTATTTAATTTATTATTATTAGGGGAGAGTGGTCCTAAGTTGGCCGCCTAAGCAAATTGGTCGAAAATATTAACAAAATGAAATTTAATCACCTCGGCAAGTATATATTAGTGTTCAGAGATCGTTTTGCTATAATTTTGTGGTATTTAGAACGTTATAGAATGGCTTTTGTAGTCTTAATACAATAAATAGTGAAAAGCTGCATTTTGGACATTTCAGAAATAGCGGTTTAATAACATTATTCGTAACAATTCACTCTTTTTGAAAATTAAAAAAAAAATTCTTTTTTCTGCTGTAAACAAATCCGTTTTTTCAAATATCTGTGTTCTTATACGTTTATCTATTTAGAACAGTGAACTTCAACATCAAATATAAAGTACAATTCGCAAAATATATTTACCTATTTGGTCAACAAGAATATGATTGAAAAAAATCCCAAAAAAAAACAGTAACTATATTTTTTTTCTTTTTTTACGCCAAAAAATCGAATTTACTCAATTTCCACATTCTTTCTCAAACCAAAAAAATGTACCCAATTTATTTATATCGCAGATCACGTATACGCCATAAAAGCAATCACGTTTTGACCAAAAACTGTAAAATACTTGAACTAAAATTTTCCTCTCTCTCTCAAAAAAAAAAAAAAATACACCGAGAAAATTCTTTATATTCTTCAATATTTCTTCCTTTCTCTCTGTGTCACAGAGAAAAAAAACAGTAAAACGAAATAATTTCTTTCTCTCGATATCAATCTTGTTTCACATTTTCTTTTTGTCTTTTTTTATATTCTTTCCGGAGCTGAATTTTTAAATTTACTTTTTCATTTCGATACTGAAGATGAATTGGAAAATTTAGAAAAAAAAGCATCGGGCAAAATGAAAAGTTAATAAGTTTTTTTTATTTTATAAACAGTACTGACATCTTTTTTCCTTTCTTCTTCTTTTTTCATCTTTTTTTTTAATTGAATTATAATTATTTTATTAATTGAAATTATTCTCTCTAAATTTAAATTAGTAAAAATGTTTAATAATTTCAATTAGTGACTGACTTTTTGCTTTTGAATTAGTAAATTTTACTAATAAATAGTAATTTCTTCTAATTTATTAGTAAATTTCTTTTTATTGGTAAATTTTACTAAAAATAGTAATTTCTACTAATTAGTAAAGTTTTTTTAATAATAAATTTTACTAGTAAGTAGTAATTTCTACTAATTTATTAGTCAATTTTACTAATTAAAAATGAAAAAAGTTAGTCACTAATTTAAATTTTAGAGAGTTTCTATAAAAATTATTTCTAAAAATAAAATTAATTAATATAAAAATTTATTACATTATAAAAAAACGTTCATAAAAATTGCAATCACGATATATCAATTTTCTTTCCGTCGTTCCCCTCGCACAACAATATTTATCACTAGCATTTTTCGCGATATTCTTTTTTGTTAGGAAAATTTTCGTTTATATATTGAAAATAAAACAATTAATTAATTTACTTTTGTGATGTGCTGTATTGAAAAATACGATGAAGAAATAGAATTTCACATGCAAACACCTTTAAATTAAAATATTCCAAGAGCATTGCATTATTTCAAGTTTAAATCTCCAGTAGTACAACTCAACGAATAGTCGGACACGCTTGTAAAATGGAATCCGTTACTGAACCAATTTAAAACTTTTATTTCTAAATTGAGAATTATTCTTCAACTTTTCACTCTGGTCTTTTTCCTTTTTTTGGGAAATTGCCAGCTGGGTAACAAAGAAACTAGTATTTTTTTCAAAACAAATTCTCCGAAAATCTAAATTTTATAATTAATTTTTCATTAAATTTATTAGTTAAATTTTTAATTAAATTAAATTAAATTTGTAATAACATTTAATTTTATTAAATGCATTATCAAAACCAGAATAATAATATTTATTTATTTTGAAATATATATTTTACATCGAAAAAAATTTATCCAAATGGAAGAAAACAAAATAAAATCCAAATAAAAAAATTTTCATTTTTAAATTACAAAAGAGAATGGAAACTGAAATATTAATTAGATTTTTAATAAAACTTTGTATGAAACAATAGTGATAATGTTTAAATAAAACAAGAAAAGGTATTTTAATTACTTTTTACGATGTATTCACACTGGAAAGTGTAATATTTTCCCATTGTGTTGAACATCAAGGCATCTGAACTTTACTATCAAACATGTTAAACTTTTACTGTCGGAATATTAAAATTTAATGGCCAAAAACATATATATACACATCACACCTAAATATCTAGTTTTAGTAATTAAACATCTAGTTATTAAACATTAATATCCATTTTCTTTTTCATTGTGAGAAAGCAAGTTATAAAAAAAACAACTCAAAATAAAAAAAGTTTTTCCCACTTTTTTTATGACTTTCGTTGCGCGCGACATGATTGAGAGTAATTTCTCTTTTCTTTTTTTTTAAACGAAAAGAAGAAAATTTTTTTATTGGTTTAGATATTTAAGTGTCGGAAAATCAATGGCTAAGTGATAAAAATATGACGATTTACGACCTTATGGGATATTTATTGTTTTTGAAATTTAAAAAAAAATTTAGAAGGAAAACAAAGATTTTTCTTTATCGTAAAAAAAATTATAGGGATTTTTTTATTGAAGTAAATTTTTAATTATATATTTTTTAAAAAGAACCTTCTAATTACTTTTTATTTTAATTAATACTTTTAATTACTATAACGTACAATTTTTCCGTCAGTTATCGAGGATTTTTCGAATTTTAAAAGACGAAGATTTAAATAAATATGTATTTTTTTTATAAATATCGACACAGTGAACAAAAAATAATAGTTAATTTGCATAATATATGGTAGACAATTATCGAGGATCCACTGTAAATTAAATTTTATTTTCGCTTATTATACGGCATTAAATGAAAATAAACAAAAACATTGAATTTTTTTAAATTAAAAATTAAAAATTAGAGAAAACTCACTTATTACCTAATTAGCTACTTAATTACTACTATATTTATTATCTACAAAAGTTTTAATAAAATTCTTTGAATATTAGGAAATAAAAACTTCAAATAATTCAAAAAAAAATTCAATTTAAATTTTTTAAAAAATTAATTCTGCAGAATTGTTAATTAAAAGTATGAAAAATTCAGATTATCAAAGATTTTAATTTGAAACCTTTTCAAAATTCAATTATTTCTAAAAATTTACGCTGTAATGCTTTTAATATTCAATTATAATCTAAAATTTTAACTGAAATTAATTTCTAAATAACTTTTTATTAGAAAATTCTACGAGAATTCAATTATTTAAATAAAAAAATTAATAATTTCTTGAATGATTGAATGTTTCTCAAAATTGAATTCTCATAAAGAATTTTATCAACAAATTTTTAAATAATTGAATTCTTTTGACGAATTTTAATAAATTTTTTAAGAATAATTACATTTTTCGAGGAATTCGATTAAAATTGTATTAAACATTATTTGAAATTCTGCGATGAGAGTTATTATTTACAAAAATAATTGAATTTCTAAAAAAAATTTTATTATTTACGAAAATAATTGAATTATTACAAAGAATTTTATAAAAAAAATTTATAAACAATTGATTCATTTCGAAAAAATGTATGCAAATTCTATTTTAAATAATTGAATTCCTGTGCAAATTTTATTATTTTAGAAAATAATTGAATGTTCGTGTAGAATTTTATCAAAAATTTTTTTTAAATAATAATTGAATTCTTTTGGGAATTTTATTAAAATAGTAGTTATTGAAAATCACTAATTTAAGAAATATTTTTAAAAATAATTGAATTTAGGAAGAAAAATTTTGTTATTTATAAGCATAATTGAATTATTGTGATGAATATTGTTATTTACGAAAATAATTGAATTTTGCAATGAATTTTATTAAAATTCCTGAAAATAATTAAATTTCTGGAAAGAATTCAATTTTAAATAAATTTATGGTAGGCGGTCACTTTTTCTAAAAAATATTTTCTAATTCTTTTTGTCTAAAAAAAGCGATTTCTAGTGAAATCTGTTTTCTAAAAATAGTTTTTCTAACAAGTTTTGATTTCTAAAAAAAGTTTTTCTAAAATGTTATGATTTCTAATATTTATTTTCACAAAATTTGTAAAATCCCATAATTTTGATAAAAGTTAGAAAATTGTTAAAAAATTAAGATTAAGAAATAGAAACTATTTTGGATATTTTCCGATATTTTCTGTTTCTCAAAAATTAGAATTCTGTTTACAAAATTATAAGTTTCTTTTTGAAAAAGGAAAAAAATTTTTATAAAATTATTATTTCTTATCACAATTTGTTAACAAAATTCTGTTCTTCTTTGAAAAAAAATAATAATTTCCATCATTTTTATACCAAAATTTCCAAAATTAATCTTATTTATAAAATATTTTTTTGGAAATTTTAAAAATCTTTAGGAAAAAATCCCTATAATTTCTATTTGTTATTAATTATGTACGATTTTTAACTAGATTATTTTTAAATTTTGTTAAAAAATCTGCATAATTTCTATTTTTTATTATAATTTTTTAACGAAATCTCAAGTAGTTTTTTTAAAGAATTAAAAATTTTTCGTAAATTCTATTTTTTAATCATCGTCATTACAAAAATTGAATAATTGTTAAAAAAAAATTGAAAATTTCCTTTATTAGAAAAAGAAATTTTTAGAAAATAACCTTTATTAGAAGAACGAAAATTAGAAAAGCACCTTCATTAGAAAAAAGTTTTTTAGAAATTCACCTTCATTAGAAAAAAATTTTTTAGAAAATATGTTTTAGAAAAACTGTACCCCAACCAAATTTTTATTAGAAAATTCTACGAGAATTCAATTTTTTAAATATAAATAATTTATTGAATAATAATATTAATATTATTATTTATTAATTATTTTATTAAATTAATAATTAATTTAATTAATTTAATTTTTTTACTTAATTTTTTTTAATTATTTTTTTTATTAATTTTTATGCGAATTCTATTTTAAGAAATATTCAATTGAATATTTCTTAAAATAGAATTCGCATAAAAATTTTTAAATAATTGAATTCTTTTGGCGAATTTTAATAAAATTTTTAAGAATAATTACATTTTTCGAAGAATTCGATTAAAATTGTATTAAAAATAATTGAAATTCTACGATGAATGTTATTATTCATGAAAATAATTGAATCCTTGTAAAAAATTTTATTATTTATAAAATTAATTGAAATTTTGCCAAGAATTTGATTAAAATTTTTGGAAATAATTGAATTTCGGAGAAGTAAATTATAATAAATAATTTATAAGTAATAATTTTATGATAAGTAGTTTTTGAAGAAATAAGTTATTAAAAAAGAAATTATTGGCAGAAATAGAAAGAATTGAAAGTTTTGTATTAAAATTTGTGGTAATTTCATAGTTCATGAGGCAAACAAAAAAGCAGAATTTTCTTATGAATTCTAGACCCTGACTTTTCCCTGAATTCGCTTTTCTTGCAAGCGTTAAAAATAAATAAAATAAATAAAAAAAATGCTGTCTATTTTCAGGTGAGGTGGGAAAGGAAATGTACATAGTGAACAGAGGTCGACTGCAAGTGGTAGCGGACAATGGAAAGACGGTGCTCGCCACTCTAAAGGCGGGTTCCTACTTCGGGGAGATCAGCATTCTCAATATGGGGACCGCAGGTAAAGAGTGCGGTAAATATTCCAAGCGGACCAGGGGCCCGTGAAGATGTCCCCCTCGTTTCTCACGATCACGTTTCACGTTTCACGTTCCTACATTCTGAGTGAGCGAGCCGTCGAGCCGGTATGAGCCGACCTATAACAAGATACCGATCTATCTGACTGTCTGTCTCTCTGTCTATCTCTATCTTGTTTAATACGTTAACCTCCCCCACCCCCACTTGTTTCATTGCAAAAATTTTCACTCTCCACTCAAAAATTCAACGTTCGAGGTTCGAGGTTCACGCAACGAATTTTACTTAATTAAAAGTAGGGAACAAAATTTGAAAAGTAATCAAAGAAATATTCAACCAACAAAGAATAAAGTTACTTTTATAGTTTGGATTTTTATAACTAAAAGTTACATTATATTTATTTCCATTAATTTAAATTATAGTATGGCTTTCACAAAATTACAGAATTAGAAAATAGAGAAATTTTTCATGTCAATCATAAGTGAAAGTGTGTCACATATCCTCTTAAAGTTACTAATTATGTAAATTTCCATCAAGTTAATTGCTGTCTATTATTATCTAAGATTCGAATGAAAATTTCGCTGATTTTATGTTTAAATAAAAAATTAAGCAAAATTAAAATTCAAACTAAAATTAAATTTATATTGTTCAATATTTCATTTTTTATCAAAATCTACATAAAAAAGTGCATTTCGCAAAAGAAAAGAAAAATATTTTACTCTTGAGACAAGATTTTTATGTAAAAATACGTACACTTTTTATTAAATTTGTAAAATATTTTCCTAGCCTAACTTAAGATAGCTTATGCCACTGAATCATTGAAATTTCAATCTGAGGGTAAAATTTTACATACATACAAGAGATTTGAACTGAACAAAAATTACAATTTCTCACAAGATTTAATTAAATTTTGAATCTCAGTTTTTCTTTTAAATTTTCCATTCAATTTTTGTTGAAAAAATGTTGATATCTATGAATTTTTAGAATTTTTATTTAACATTTTTTTAATTAAATAATTTCCATTTTCTCTGTTGTAAATTTTGTTTCTTTTGAATTATAGAAAAAATTACTTTTACAATTTTAATTGAATCGAAAATTTCTAAAAGAACAACTATTTTAATATTAACAAAATTTCGAAATTCCTGATTCAATTTAAAACTAAAATTAAACTTAAATTAATTGAAACTAAAATTCTTAATTAGAATACACTTTCAAATTTTAAATTGAAATAAAATTGGTTCTAAATTAGAATATAATTGAAATTCTTAGATAATTAAAATAAAATTGAAGTAATAAATAAAAATAGAATAAAATTTTTAAATTCTTAATTCTTTATTAAGAAAATTATTCATTATTATAATTATTCTTTATTATCCACTATTAATTCTTACATTTTATAATTTGAGCTTACATTTACTCTTATAATTCAGTTGTCCATAAAAATTTTGTATACTTTAATTTTAGTTAGTTTTACTCCGATTATTTTATCATTTTGTATCAAAAGTTTGAACTCTTACGAAGAATTTTATTATTATGAAAATAATTGAACTTTTCAGAGAGATTTTATTTAAATTGTATTGAAAAAATTTAATTCTTGAGACGAATTTCAATATTATTATGAAAATAATTGAATTTTAGAATTTTTAAAATAATTGAATTGTTTCGAAAGTTGAACTGAAATTTTGAAAAATAATTAAATTCATTTGAGGAAAGCAATTAAAATTGAATAAACAATAATGTAATTCTTATAAAGAATTTTATCAAACTATTTGAAAATAATTGAATTCTTTCGAAGAACTTTACTAAAATTTTCAAAAACAATTGAATTCTTTCGAGGAATATTTTATTAAAATAAAATTCTAATTTGAAATAGAATTGAAATTATAAATTAAAATTAAATTAAAATTATGAACTCAAATAAAATTGAAAATATAATCTAAAATTAAAATTCTAAATTTAAATAGAATTGAAATTCCAAATTAGAATAGAATATTAATTCTAAATGAAAATAAAACCAAAAATAGAATTTCAATTGAATTTTCTCGAAATTTTCTTTTTTTCCTTAGGAAAAATAATTTCAGTCATTCTCATTCAATCGTATTCTTTTAGAAATTACAACTTTTTTCAAATTTCAAAAGCAAAAAAACAAACTTCGTATTTTTTAATTAAAAAAATGTTGTATTAAAAAAAGATCATATGTGATAGAATTATGAATTTGGTTTCCTTTCTTTTTTATGGCTCAATAATTCTTTCGAATATAAAATATTAAAAGCATGTCCCCAATCGTTGCGTGATCGTCGACGCGTTTTGAATTATTGACAAAAAAAAGAAAAAGAAAAAAAAAATTCGTGACGTGCTCGTCCTTATTACTTTAGGAATATATTTTCAATGCAACGGATTATTTTCGCATTACTAAAAAATTTCTCCTCCGTAATCAACATCATCTGTCAATATCACTGACAATAGTCAATAAAATTGATAAATTTTAATTACACTCAACAATGTATAGTAATTGTTTAATAAATAGTAATAATTTGTTTAATTGCATGAATAAATAATTGATCTGATTGATTGCAATTATTTACAACTATTTGCAACCACTCGGGACAATTTATTATCAATTTATCAATTACTAATTATTGGCAAATTGTTGTTATTCAGACAAATATTTATTATTGACTGAAATAGTTATTCTCATTGAGACAAGTATTATTGAAACAATCTTTATTGAAAGTATTTTTAATTTTTAATGAAACTATTTTCAATTTTTTCGAATCTATTTCTATTGAAAGAATTATTATTCACACAATTTTGAAATTAAAACTATTATTAATTATTTTTGAAACAATTATTGTTGAAACTATTTTAATTGCAACTATTTTTTATGTTTTTAAAATTATTTTTATGGCAACTATTTTTCACATTTTTTTAAATCAATTTTTATATTGAAGAAGTTATTATTGAAACAATTATTATTGAAATTATTTTTAACTTTTATTCAGACTATTTTTAATTTTTTTAACAATTTTTATTGAAAGCATTTTTTTAATTTTTATTAAAACAATTTCTATTGAAACTATGTACTTTTAATTTTTTTGAAATAATTTTTATTGAGATTAAAAGATTAAATTAACTTCGCTTCGCCTACAGTTTGTTCCAAAAAAAGTGCTCATTCAAAAATTGACAACTGCTCGCACTCGTTACGAAATATACTATTTAACAATTTTTATTGAAAGTATTTTCAATTTTTTTAAAACAACTTTTATTGAAACTATTTTTAATTTTTTTAACAATTTTTATTGAAAGTATTTTTAATTTTTTTAAAACAATTAGTATTGAAAGAATTATTATTATTCAAACAATTTATATTTGAACTATTTTCTCATTTTTCTAAATCAGTTTTTATTGAAAGAATTATTATTCAAATAATTTTTATTAAAACTGTTTTTAATTTTTTGTTAAACAATTTTTATTGAAACTATGTGTCTAATTTTTTTTTTAAGAATTATTATTCAAGCAATTTTTATTAAAACTATTTTTAATTTTTATTGAAAAAACTTTCATTACAACAATTTTTATTGATAAATTTTTGAATAAATTGTTATTGACGTTAATTATTGAACTTCGAGTTAATATTTGAATACTGTCGAATATAATAAATTTTGAAAAATCGTTGAGAGAAATATGTTTGATTACGAGAGGGAGAAATTTTCTGTTTAATTTTCTTCGACCCCCTTCGCCCCTTGTATACCATTTGGCTATCGTAGAAATTATTATTAGTCCGGATAGAATGAGTCTGCTATTATGAAATTAGAGTGGCTCTTGGACTTTTCCATATTCTTGAAAGGAAACTAAACAGCGCTATCTCGACACGCTGATACTTTGAAGACTTTTTACTGCATGGACGAAAGCACTGGTGAATATAAAATTCAGGGCCGGCTCTAAAAAGAAATTTCAAAACTATAGCCAGAAGCACCTCGAGACATGTGAGAGTATTCCCTTGAGGGGGAACTTTGCCAAGGGAGTCAAAAGTGCGAAAGCTCAGAATTTCTCCTTTTTTTCTTTTCCTTTTTTTTGAAATCGAGCCTTTTGTTCTTGGTGAGTTTCGAGTTGGCTGACAGTCATTTTAGTTGCGCAAGAGAAATGGTTCTTGTAAAATTAAAGGACAAGAAGAAAGTCTTCTTCGAGTTATCAAGAGCCGACCCTGGGGAAATATGCACGTTATATCTCGTCTTTAAGAAAATATTCTTTTGCAAATCTTAGAAAAAAATTTTTTATTCCTTTCTATATTACTATCATATTATATATATATCATTTCTTTACACTTGGTATTTTTGCCATCCTCGTGCTTTCTCGCACGTTTTCTTTTTCGCAACCCTTAAACTAAATAAAAAATTGTCTTCTACTTTTATTTTATTTCAAACAAAAAAAATTGAAGGGAAAGTTCGACTACATTTTCAACTACTTATATTAGTGTCAATTTAGAAGAAGAAATGACCAAAATTATTTTTATGGTAATTTATTGCAAGAAAATAAATGAACATAAAACAAAATTGGTAAAAAAAAATTTTTGATACGATAAATTTTAAAATCAATTTATTTTCCATAGTTTTGAGTTTATAAAAGAATTTTTTTAACTGTAAAAGATTTTATTATATTTATTATTTTTATTATTTTGAATTTGAAATAATGAAAACAATAATAATTAAATTAGTTAATTAAATAATAAGTGGATTTTTTTAAATTTGAATCTGAAATTATCAAAAAATTAAATTCTTTTAGAGAATTTTATTAAAATTATTGCAAATAATTGAATTCTTTCGAAAAATTTTATTACAATTTATCAAATTAATTGAAATCCTGAGACAAATTTTATTATTTATGAAAATAATGGGATTATTATAAAGAATTTTTTTCAACATTTTTGAAAATAATTAAATTCTTTCAAAGAATGTTAATAAAACATTTTTAAATAATTGACTTCTTTTGAGAAATAAAATT